TTGTTAACCAATGTCATAAAACAATATGTGTACTACTGTTTCATTAGAAACTATTTGTTCTGTAAGCCTTCACCTGAAGTACAATTAAAAAAAAAAAAAAGATACAGATTGCTGGGGTGCCAGTAATGTTCTGTTTCTTAATCTGGGTACTGGTTACCTGGGTATGTTCACTATTTGAAAATTTGTTGAGTTGTACACTTACGTTAGAGTCATTAAAAAAACTGTAACTATTTAAAAACTTAAAACCTTCAAGAACCATACTGAATAATCTAAAATAATTTCAAAGTGCCCTTCCTTCTCTGACCTTATAGGATCCTACAGCCCTTTATAACAGTGTTTCCAATCTTTTATCCTACCAAGAGGATATCCAAGCTTTATTTTCTATAATTTGTCTTATAAAATAGGTTATTTTTCATTTTTTAAACATAAAATAATATTAAACATGCTTTCGAAACACATGCTCCCAGAAAATCTGATACTACTTCTACCCCAACCCCAAGATAAGAATAATCTCACTATACATACATATGTACCTGTATGTATGTTACACACGCACAGAGAGAGAGAGAAAACACTAGGAGTAATGCTAGGAAAGTAGCCATGTCCATTCAAATTAACTAAAAGCCTCATTTTATGCCTATAACTACAAATCCTGTGTATTTGCAGGTGGGTGATGGGAGGACGAAACCACATATTTGCAGCTATACATGCTATATGGCAGGTATATATGATATAATTTGAAGAAATTTAAAATTCTGATCCATTGCAAGAATGTATTCTAGGCAAGCCCTGAGATAATGCTGCCTGTGGAAGCCAAGTCAATTAAGGGGAAAGTCACTTGTAAGTATGCCTTGCAGCTAGAAATTATGGTTACTAACTCCCTAACCAACACTATTTAACTAGGATCCTTGCTAGATGCCAGGAAACTGTGAACATAAGACATTGGCCACCAGAGAAGGATTGGATTATTTGCATTGGCAATTACTTCGTACTGCATGATCATCCTACCCCTAGCTATGTTCTGTCATAAAGCTGGTGCCTATCTTCTTGTCCCCACTCCCTTCCCCATCCTACCAGATGCACCATTCTTAAAGGACAAACATGCCCAGGCCTCCAGGGACCAGACATTTTGGGACTATGTCTCCATGATTACAAAGGTCTAGGAGGCTATTCAGGCCCACAAGCTAGTACTTGATTGTTTCTATCTTGAGTAGACAAATGACTAGACCTGAGCTCCAGGTCTGGAAAAAAAAATCTTCAGGTCATAAAAGAAAGAAAAAAAAGTAAGCAAAAATTATAATATCACCAATTCATCATATCTGTGCGGCACTTATATTTTTAAAATCATGGAATATGAAAACATCAGCATAGGTGTTTAATAAATACTTCATTCCTTCTTTAGCACTAACAGATATGTGACATAAGTAAGGAGAGAACATTTTGCAGATGTTGCCTATTTATAGGCCTCATATATTTGTACAGAAACAACCTTGGAAACCCTATGGGGCAGTTCTACTCTATCCTATAGGGTCACTATGAGTCAGAATCGACCTGATGGCAATGAGTTTTTATCCGTATAAAAAGAATCATAGAATATTTGGAGGTGAAAGGCCTCAACTACACCTCCTCTCTCCCTTAGAGAAGGGACTTGACTTGTCCAGACCTGTGTGTCTTTCTGCTACATTTTTAATATCTTAAAGGAAATGCCATCCCAGATTACTCCGAGGTAAGCAAAATAATTTTTTCTCAAGGTGTTAACTACAGTATACCAGCGCAGACTCACAAAAGCATGTCTAGTTGGAAAAACACTGGACCAGGAAAAAATGAGACCTACTCAAGTCCTGAGTTGTTCTGAGGATTAAACAATAGATACAAATGACAGATTTAAACTGTGAAATGTTGTACAACCATAACATCATTATATTATGTAACACTTTCCTATTTTCGTAAGTTCTTGGATGCATCAGAAAGAAAACTGAAACAGTTCATTAGCAACAATGCTTTCATTCAAGTAACACCGAGAGCCCACTATAAGCTACCAGTTATAAAAACCAGTTGCCGTGCAATCCAAGTCATGGCAACCCCATGTGTGTCACTGTCAGAGTAGAGCTGCTCCATAGGGTTTTTCAATGGCTGATTCTTTCCGAAGTAGATCGCCAGGCCCTTCTTCCGAGGTGCCTGTGGGTGGAGTCAAACCTCCAGTCTTTTGGTTAACAGCCAAGCAGGTTAACTGTTTGCACCACCCAGGGACTCTTACTCCAAGCCAGATTTTTTTTTTTTTTCTGGTTTCTTTTTAAATTTCAGCTCTTTTGGTAAGTCTGTAGAAATCTCATTTCTTTTTTGTACAGAGGTATGGAGCCCTGGTGGCACAGTGGTTTAAAGCTTGGCTGCTAACTAAAATGTCAGCAGTTCGAACCTATCAGCTGCTCCTTGGAAACCCTATGGGAAAGTTCTACTCTGTCCTATAGGGTCACTGTAAGTTGGAATTGACTCAATGGCAACGGGGTTTTTATACAGAGGTATAACTTACCTAAAGTAATTCACGTAACTCTTAAGTGTACACCTTATAATTTTTTACATATGTACACACCCATGTATTTACCACCAAGATCAACATATAAAACATCTGCATCACCCCCAAAGGTTTCCTCATGCCCCTTCCCAATCAACATCTCCCTCCCAGAGGTAACCACTATTGTGACTTCTATTACTATTATTAGTTTTGCCTGTTCTTGAGCTTCAAAGAAATAAAATCTTATAGTATCTGCTCTTTTATGTCTGGCTTCTTTCACTCAAAATATTGTCCAAACCCTGTTTTAAGACTTATAACAGTATATTATAATTCTCTGTTTATCTATCTATCTCCTGCGGACTTAAGGTCCTTGAGGGCAGAGATTGTGTCTGATTCATAGTTGTATTCATAACGCCTAGTACACAAGAGGAACTCAGTTGAGATTTGCTGAGTTCAGTAAGCTAAAGATAGCATCCAAGATGCAGAGAAGGAACCAGAGCCTAGGAGACATGAAATCTGGCATTTACCGAGAAAAATAGGTCCTGTTTTACTAGCAGGATCATCTGCAGTTTTGGGTCCCACATTTCATATTAGTGCTGGCAGGTGTCAGCACTAGGGCAAACAGGGTTAATCAAGACAAGCAGAGCTGTAATTTGGGAAGCTGGTTTTGTGCTAAGAAAATAAATGGTCTCTCGCTCTCGCTGCAGGGGTATTTTTAGCAACATGGTCAGCTAATGGCATATCTCTCATATTAAGTATAATTCTGCCACACCAAAACAGCCTAACCTAACACCTCCAGACGAGTGAAGGGTGAGATGGAGAAAGAAAAACAAGGTTTATGAGAGGCAAAACTACAGTGAAATCTATATATTCCAGCACACACAGTTTTACATCATTTCTTCAGGGAAAGAAAATGCCCCTACTAACCCTTGTCCAATCTTCTCAAACCGCGTATACTTCTTCTTAGGATCGCCCACACTCACTATGCTCCCTTTAAAAGAAACAGAGACCATGAATCATTTTTTCCCAAATCAAGATACAAAATAGGCCCCATGCTCCCCACTCCCCTGGAGTTAGCAAGGATTAAAGAACTACCTCCAAAACCCAAAAAAACACACTAAGCGGGTTCTTATCTTTTTCCCCGTAAGTCACAACCAAAGGTTTCATCTCCTCGACTGCTTTTATTCATGTCAATCTATCCTATTTCTAAGCTCCTGAAAGCCACTCATTCATCTTTTAAATTCATTCATTCAATAAATGTTTATTCATTTATTATGCTTACTTACTACATCCCAAGCCCTATGGTAAGTGCTAGGAATAAAGATATAGATAAGACAGAGTCAAGATAGTCCCTGCTCTCAAGGAGCTCAGGCTCACAGAGGAGATAGACAACTAAGCATAAAGCTCCATGAAAATATAATTGCTGGGATAGATTCCAAGAGGGTACAGAAAGAGGCACAAAACACAGCCTTGTAAGGCTTCGGAAAGGAAATGATATCTGCATTGATTTTTATAGGAGTTAGCCAAGGAGAGAAATTAGGGAAAGGGTTTACAGTGGGGAACAAGAACCGTTCAAGTGAAAGGACATAGAGGTATGAGAGAGAACAATGGGTCTCACAACTTGTATTCTAGAGATGGGGAAACTGAAGCCCACAGAAGGGAAAATACTTCCCCAAGGTCACGCAGCAAATTGGTGTCAGAGCTGAGATTAGAAGCTTGGTTTTTAGTCTCCCATTCCTATGTGCTCTCCACTTACGTCAATTACTAGAATTTGCCCTTCTCACATACATTACCTCATTTGACTTACAAATGAGGCAGGTATTAACATCCCTATTTAAAGGATGATAAAAAAAAAAAGTTCAGAGAACAGTAGGAAATTGTCCAATCAGTGGCAGGGCTGGGACTTCAACCCAAGTCTCCAAACTCACAGACCAGTCTGTTTTCCATAATTCTATGTTCTAAATCTTACTGTGGGGGGAAAAAGAATCTGGTTCTGGGAAAGAGATTACATACAGGTCAGTAGGGGTACGTAAATGGCCAAGTGAGTGGCTTTTTTTTTGTTTTACTACATTATTTCATGAGGGCCTGGGCAAGGGCAATTTTAAAAAAAGTAAACAAAAAAAAAAAATGTCATACAAGAATTATCAGAAAGAAATCGAGAGGTGCAAAACTAAAGAACCAGAAACTTCAGCTTTAGAAAGCAATGCCAGTTTGCAGACTTGGCCAAATCAGCCACCTTAAATACTCTTTGGAAGTAGGTAGGTACAAAGAGTAAATCAAAAGCCTTTTCAAATGATTTTTCCAAGTTCACAGACGAAACCCAGTTCTTTCTTCTAGTGTTTACTGAAACACAGAAACAAGCTACCCTAATAATACCCCATTTCTGGCTGCTAAGGAAAGTAAAATAGAAGTTTCCACCTGACAGCAAGAGGCAGCATGCTCTAACTGCAGGAGCACAAGCTTGTGCTCTAACCCCAGCCTCATCAATTTACTGGCTTTGTCACTTAGGGCACGGTATTTAGCAGCTCTGAACCTCAAATACATTAAATGCAAAAATGAGGATTACAATGTCTGTCTTCACAGGATTAACTTGAGAATTAAATGAAAAAAAAAAAATCAACAAAATACCTTACTTGTCATTTGATACATAGTACAGGCTCACAAAAATGTTTCCCTTCCTTCTTTTCCTACAACCAAGATGGCTGACCTCTCTTCTCCTAGGTCAATGGCAAACATCAATAATCAATCATAGCACTCTCTCCCACCAGGACACAATCTTTCTCAACACAACACTCCAGACTATTCACTAGATAAAGGCTATTTGTCATCTCTTTAAACAATGCCTAGGGGTGAGGGGTGCCTAACCCTTAAAGTGAGCTATCCACATTCTCTCTCATCACATCCCCAACCTAAAGTGGTATCCAACCAAGGCTAGGAAGACAGGGAAGCGGGTGTGTGCAAGGGCAGGGTGAGGAGAAGCACAGTCTGTGGCTACAGCACCAAGCATGGTTAGCCAGCCACATGGACAAAGCCTAGGACTAGGATCTTTATAGCAGTGGAATTCCATCTCTGTGCTTGACCACTCACAGACCAGAGGAGGGTTCAGAAAGCTACAAAGTGCTTACGTAATTTCTCCAAGATCTCTTCATCAGACATTTTAGGCTTCTTCTTCTGCTTCTCAGTATTCCGGGTCAGAGCCTCTGATGGAGTGGTGTTATTCTCAGTAGGTGAAATGGGAGATGTAGCCGCATCCCGAGTTGGAGTAACAGGAATTGGTTCAATCACAGACCGTGTGTATACCTGCATTGTTAGTGCAAGAATTTGGCAAAGTCAGCCTTTGTTAGCATGGGGGAAGCTAAGGAGTCTCTCTAAGAAGTCGGATTAGAACATTCACAGAAAAAGTCCCAATAAACTCATCCCGTCTCCAAAGTAAAAATCTATACACCTCCTCCTCTGTGCCCAGGCCTACTTTCTCTGGGTACATTGTGGCATTCCTTGCTCTCTCTTTATGCAACAGGGGTTAGTGAGAGCCTCATCACTGAAGATATTCAATACAGGCTAGACAATGCTCAAAAGAAGTGATTTTTTTTTCTTTTTTTGGTGGTTCATTCTTTTTATTCATTTATTTATTTTTGGTGAAAATATACACAACAAAAGATACACCGCTTCAACAAATTCTACATGTACAATTCAGTGACACTGGTTACATGCTTCAAGTTGTGCCACCCTTCTCGACAACCTTTTCCAAAAGTCATTAACACAAACTCACTGCCCCTCCTAAACTTCTCATCTGTCCTTGGAGCTGCTGTTGTCAATTTGATTACAAATAGATAATTATTTAAAAGAATATAATGCTTAATGCAGACATTGTTTTCTAATTAGGCTAAACTATTATTTGATTCAAAAATGACTTCAGGAGATAGTTTGGGTTCAAGGCTTAAAGATTTCCTCAAGATAATAGTTTCCGGGGGTCGTACGGCCTCGATGACTCCAGAAAGTCTGGATTCCATGAGAATTTTAAATTCTCAACAGAAAGGATTTAAAGAAAGATGCTATCATTAGTTGGCAATACCTTTCATCTGTAAAATTCTATACTTTCCCAAGCTGAAATGACACAACACTTTGCACTGCTACTATAGCACTTAACATTATCTTCTATTAAGTTACTCCCCCTTTAAATCCTAACCCTTGCAGAGAAGAGACTATCTCTTATTCTTGTTCAAGAGGCAGTGTGGAATAGTGACTTAGAGCACAGACTCTGGAACCTGATTGCCTGGGCTTAAATCCCAACTCTTATTATCTGTATAATCTTCAGCAGGTTATTTAATTTCTCTGTGCTTCAGTTTCCTCATCTGTAAAACAGTGATAATAATGATACCAATTTCATGAGGTTGCTGTAGGAATAATTAATTAATATGTGTGAAGTGATTAGAATCATGCCTGGCACATAGTAAGCATTCAAATTTAGTTAACATTATCATATTTCTTTTCATTCATTTACTTAACAAGCATTTACTGACAATCTACTTTATGCCTCACCCTATACAAAATGCTGCCCCATCCTCTCATTCATGAAGGAGGTAAGAAAGTCAGGTAACTACAAGGCAGAAAGGGATAAATGTCATACAAAATGAGCAAACTATATGCTATTGAGGTTCAGAAGAAGTGATCATAAATTATATCCCTTTCCCGTGGGAGATGTTTCAAGGTATTTATCAGATCTTATCACAAAAATATCACAATTATCTACTGGCTAGTCTATAACCTCTATGAGGACAGGGAATACGTGTCATTAATCTCTGAGTTCCTGCATCTAACCACTGAGCTAACAAAAAGCAAGCATTCAGATAAATGTTTGATGAATCAGTAAATAAACAAATGAGATGCTTCAGGTGAATCCTGAAGGATGGACAGGATTTTAATAGGTGGAAATGAGAGTGAACTGTCCATGCAGTGGGAGCAGCAATTAAGTCAAGACACTGAGATCACAGACTATGGCTTTTTTCCTGACTACTCTAGAATAATGATTTCTCAACTTTGTATTCTTACACCTGTAGACCAACTACACCTCTAGCACCTAAACTTGTACTTTCATGTCCTTGTTCTCCTTCTTTATTTCTCCTGACATGGCTCCTTGAGAGCAGAAACTCTACCTTTTCCTTCTCTAATATTTTGCTTTTTCTCTGGCTCCCAGCATGGGTCTGCACACACAAAAAGGCCACTGTGCTATGGAGGATAGCAACAGGTAATCGGAGTCAATCACCTGCCTTCAAATCCTGGCTCTTTGAGAGTAAAAACTTTGGGTAGATCAATTTACCTCTCCAAATCTCAGCTTCTCCTTCTATAAGTTAAGAATTAACAATGCTTTTTTACAAAGCGATGCTATGAAGATCAAATTTGTCAATTCATTCAATATTCACTGCCTTTCTGGTACTTGTCAAGAACTACATTAAACACTACAAATGCATACATGTATATTTCCTCTGTTTTTGAGAGGTTCATTGTTTAGGGGAAAAGAATTTTTTAAATGAACACTCTTGGAAACCAAAAAGGGCCATATTAATATGAGATATTTTGACAACACTGCAATTTTGAAGTCTACTTTCCTTAAAAGTGAATTTGTGACTTACAGAAAAGGTGTTGCCACAGATTGTGCTTATAAATTCTCAGCCTAAGAAGTTATCTAATCCCCTTGAATTTCCTCCACAGCATCTCCCATAGTCAATCAACCAACTTCTACTTCAATACTGCCCTAAATGCTCAGTGCAACTTTTTTTACATTATCAGAGTTTAAACTCTAGAAAGTTCTTTCCCTATGATGTTCTCATCATAATATAAAAGCCCCAAAAAAGAAACACTAGTAGGGTATCATCTGATGGTAGTTCATTGCTCAATGATGCTAAATCAAAGTGAGGGTAGAGGGACTGAGGCTGTTCTGAGATGCAGGAACTTCAAAGGAAGTTAAATAAAAATCACTGCCAACATCCGGCATCAAAATGCACTCCTGATGTCCAGCATATTAATAGCACTAACATATTTATAAATTCTCTTGGGTCTTTCAGTATCATCAATGATTTTCTAAGAGGCTGAACACCACACATGTAACAGAGAAGAAAGGATCTGCAGCAGGATCATTTCTTGCTTCCTAGGAGACTGGAATAATTTATGTTAGTCCTACACTAAGTAACATCAATTCTGTATATCTTCCTATCCTATCTGTAGAGAACAGGCTAAGTAAACTAGGGCTGGGCTGGTATAAACACTAATTCTAGGACACTTTGGGACTATCTGCAGAACAGTGATGAATAAATACACCGTTTCTTATTTTTAATCATACAGAAAGTATCTTTCAATCAAGGCATTTGGGTTATTACACCAACTCTAAAACCAAAGAGCCCCTACAAGAGCATCCAACCTCTAGGCCTCAGCATTAGTCCCTACGTTCCCCAACCAATTCTAATAAATTAAACCCCACATCCATCACAAATCACAGAGCTGTCAGGGTCCCCAAAGACTCACAGATTTTGTATGTTCTGGGCGTGGAGCAATCACTGGAGGAGGGGTAGCATCATCATCATCATCTTCATCTTCAGAAACTGGTGGCACTGCTGGTGTCTCAGACACAGCCTTCACATTCTATGCAGGGAAGAAAACAGATTCATTCATCCTGTCCAGCTGACATGGAACTTAAGCTATCAGGATCACCAGCCCCGCAGAAGAATCCCATCCTGACATCCCTTCTGGAACCCACATCAATCTCTAAGCCCTGGGGATGAACCTTACCAGACCCGCTAATTAGATCTGCTATAATCTGCAGTAACTTGATTTTCCTATGCAAACTTTAACAAAGCTAGGCCAAGAGTAAGTAGCAGGTTTTAGGGCAGGTCCAGGCAAAAATATCATACCATTACTGTTTACAACACAAATTCAAGAGACAAAGTGGCTCCAAAACATGAGATTTTTGATGGAGATCAAATGATTATAGCATAGGACAAGGGAGGCAATAAGGATATTTTTATATATACTCTGATATAACTGAACAGTCTCAGATATTTTCAGAGCACTTAGTTTGTGCTTAGTAAGATACTGTGACGGATACTGTTGATATGAAGATACAAAGATGAAAAAGATGACCCATGTCCTGAAGCAGCTCACCATCTGGTATAAGGGACAAAGAGTGAGTTCCCCTTCTGCCTGCCATTTGGGGCCTCCTGAGAGATGAAAGCCAGGAGTCAGAATGACAGGGGATATGTGGAAGAACTGAGGGATACGAGACCAGAGTTACTGAGTGTGGGAGTACTCATCAGTATAGCTGACATACATACTCAGGTGAGAAAAAGTGGCAATCTCATAGACTTCAACAGGGCCTCCAGTGCAGAACGTAACTCAGAAACTGACAGTGCCAGCATATGCAAGTAACTAGGTGTGGTGGCCACAACTATCCTCTTGGTCTCAACTTTCATCACTTGAGGAATGGGGAGGATGAGAAGTGATATAGAGGGGTGACCTTAAGTAATTTTCAGCTGTAAAATTCAAAAAACGTTCTTTCCTTGTCAAAACATGTATTTTGATACTTTTCTGCTCTCATTTCTTTTCTCCCCACTCTCCCCTCAACAAAAACTAGGAACCAAAATGGAAATAAAATGGACACAGCAGCCTCTTCTTCATCATCAGGTGGCCTGGGGGCCTCTCTAATGTATACTGTAAACACTAGGCTTGTTTGCTTCTACAACTCTATAGAAAAGGAGATTTCATCACCTTCCTCAGAAATACATTCTGTTTTCCACAAGTGATCACTTGGGGAAGTAGTATTAACAACAGAGTCAAGAGATCTGGGTTTTTGCCCTAGATTTCTACTTCTTAGTCCTGTGTCCTTGGGAAAGGCTATACTACTCTAAGACTCAAGTTTCTCATCTATAAAATAGGAATAATGACAGCAGCTCTTCAACTACCCCAGAGGGCCACTGGAAGGATGAAATGAAGTTATGTGGCTATAAAAACACTTTGTAAATGGTAAAGGGCTAGACAGATGTAAGGAACCAATTAAATTAACATTATGTCTAATAAATGCAAACCTCCGTTTACAAAGAAAACAAATGGAAACTCCAACTCATTCATTCATTCATTCATTCACTGTGTGTTAAGCTCTATTCTAGGCTCTGGAACTATAATTAAGAACAAAATAGATAAAAGTCCTTGTCCTATGGCTTGTATTGTAGAAGATGATACAATTTAAAAAAAAAAAAAAATCACCAAAGTGTCAGGTAGTAATAAGACAAACATATGGAAGTAGAGATACAGTAGTCATGGGAAAGTCTCCCTAATGAGACAACATATAGACAATAGCTTGAGTGAATGGCTATCTGAGAAAAGAGTATTCCTGGCAGATGGAGGCAATACAAAGGCCCTGAGATGAGAACATGTCTGGTGTGTTCCAGTAACTTCAAGAAGGCTTGGGTGACTGTAACAAAGTGAGCAAGGATAAGTGGGGTAAAAGAGAAGGTCAGAAAATTAGCCAGGAGCCAGATTATATAAGCCCATGGGGGCCATAGAAAAACTTTGGAGTTTATCCTAGAACGAGAAGTCACTGGAGGGCTGTGAGCAGAAGAGTGATGCGATCTATATTTTTTTCTTTTTAAAGTACTTTATTAAGATGTTTCTTACAAATTAGAGAAAAGATTCTTTATCATAACCAATCAAATAAAAATTCTTATTTTATAACAATACAGCGAAAAGCACCAAAGGAAGCTTGGACCCATAATTCTGATGAACTCAAGCATTCCTGGTTTTCAGTTCTTTTAAAGTACAGTCTGATGGAGAACGCAAAGCTTTCAGAAAGAGTACCAAACTTACTTATTGACTCCTAACATGTTGGATAAACAGCACTTTTATTCCTCGTATGTTCACATATGTAGACTAATATATTGTTTGCCTTGCCTTAGGTACAAAAATATTCATCACATGCAAGTTTTCTACTGCAAATAGGCAAAGAATATTAAATATAATCTATGCTACTATCTACTTTTGGAAAATAAGATATTACAAAGCAGAGTAGAACATAAATTTTACTAATTAAAGAACCTATATTCTTCTTTACTTTAGATGGCTTCAACTGTTCAACAATATTTTAAGGACTTTTCCATATAAATTCATTCACAAGTATGGATTTTCTTTATTAAAGAGATATACGTATGAACAGAGTACCCTCGATTACACCATTTCAAATATGGCAGTTGCTTAAAGAAAAGGCATATTCTTGGCGTACTACCACATGACCACAAGGAATAACTACAATGGAAACTTCTCTGCCCATTCAAATTTTATAAATTCTTTCTTCTTGCAACTTCCTCAATTGTTCTTCCAGTGACAGACCTCAAACATCTTCTGCTGGAATATATACTTCATGTATTTTTCCACTGATGTCATTTCTGTTTGTCTTTCCTTCTCCTTTTCTCTTTCTTTATCATCTTCATTAAAAGTGTTCACACAATATCTACCTGACTATTTTAGAATTTTCTCCGGTTGTTAAGATTTTATTTTCAATAATCATTTTTCCCAGGTAAACCTGTTGCGGCCAAGTCGATTCTGACTCATAGCAACCCTGCAGGACAGAGTAGAACTGCCCCATAGGGTTTTGTGATGGTTAAGATTGTGTGTCAGCTTGGCTGGGCCATGATTCTCAATGTTTATATGTGATCACCCCCATGATGGGATCTGCTGTGAGTAGCCAATCAGGTGAAAGGGAGTTTCCTTGGGCTTGTAGCCTGCATCTGAATATAAGTGGACATTCTGACTTTTGACCTCTCTAGACCTACAGCTGCCTATTGGTCGTCTGACCTCCAGTTCTTGGGACTTGAGCTAGCAGCCTACCTGTCGATCTTGGGATTTGTTAATGTTCACAGCCTGTGAGCAAGAGTCCTGCTCTCCAACCTACCAATCTTGGGTTCGTCAGCCCCTGCAGCTACATGAATTAGGAGAACCCTTGCGGTCTTGCCTGACGATCTTGGGATTCGTCAGCCTTCACAGCCTGTGAGCAAGAGTCCTGCTCTCCAACCTGCTGACCTTGGGTTCACCAGCCCCTGCGGCTATGTAAATCAGGAAAAACCACTTTCCTGATCCACTGACTTGGGATGTTCCAGCCTCTACAATCACGTGAGCTGTTTCCTTGATATAAATTTATTTATATATATATATATATATATATGTTTTACCGGTTTTGCTTCTCTAGAGAACCCAGCCTAAGACAGGTTTCCAAGGAGCGGCTGGTGGATTCGAACTCCCGACCTTTTGGTTAGCAGCGAAACACTTAACCACTGCGCCACCGGGGCTCCTTTTTCCAGGTAGTATAGAATAATGGTTAAAAGCTGATATTCTGGAATCAACCAGCTTGGGTTCAAATCCTAGCTCTACCACTTTCAAATTATGAGTTTTGCGTTGGATAATAAACTCTGTCTGAGTTTCCTCATCTGTAAAATGGAGCTAGTTATAGTACTTACTTCAGCACTAGTGCAAGGTTAAAAGAGATAATCCATGTAAAATACATTTAAAAAAAACTCAAATATGGACTATGATAATGTCACTGGCCACACAATTAGAAGGTGCTCAATATAGGACTGCTGAATGAATGAATGTACCTTATCCAATAGCAGGATAAACTGGACAGAAATATCTAAACAGCAGGATCCTGAACAATTGAGAGGGTAGAGATAATGGGAACAAGATTGTGGAGGAGGGGACCAAAATGGCTAAGGATTGAACTATTAACTGACTTAAACCGTTCACCTACATTCTACAACAGAAATAAATAGTTCTGATGGCTTTATACTCTGTAAAGCCTTGTTTACTTTATCATATCTTCAACATGATCTAAACCAGCTGTTATTACAGGTAGGCCTGTTAAAAGGCTTAGCAAAAATGGCCAAGGACAAGTCTATACAGTCAATCATTTTTTTGGTGGCTGCTGCCTGATCAACTAATAGTTTCCAGATCAAGAATGAGAGTAAAGAGGAAAATGACCAGGCAGCAGAACTGTGACTCAAGCCCCTGGGCAGTTAGGAAGGATGTGATGCAAACACACTGAAAAGGGCCACTGAAATGTGACAGCCTATTCCACAGAGAAGATGGTAGCCAGGGTGTGCTCCATAACTATTGTGTCCCAGGAGTAAGATTATACCCACCCCAGAACAAGGAAAATCTGATACTTTTCCTTGAGATAAGAAGACCAAGCATGATACCAGACTAAACAAAAAATTCTTTCCCATTCTATGAAAAGCAGTGTAGTAAAGTGGGGAAAAAACAAAAATAAAAACCCAGATCACAATTCAAAAAGTTCTCTCCATTCTATCCTCTCTTCTCCAGCCCCACTGCCACTGCCCTTAGCACAGGTCTTATGATCTCTCACTCCTACCAATCCTTTACAAGTCTTCCTCACTGCTTTCTGGCCCTTCAGTTTTGCCCTCTCCAATGTATCTTTTATAACAGTCCCAGAGCAATATGTCTTTCATCTTTTTGTTTTTATTGTTTTAAAAATATTATATGCAGACTGCCAGGTACGGCAGAGAGAGGAGATTGGAAAATCCTCTTCAAAAAGCAACCATAAACTGGGCAAAATTGTCAAAAACAACGATTTCAACACTCTGGAAATCTGCCAAAGGCATACAAAATTCGAGAAATGCTTATAATTGAAAAACTGTTGAACTTCCAATAAGATTAATGGAAATCCCTGAGTCTGGCCTGGCTGCTCCCATCCACCCCACTCATAGCTCCATCAGAGTAGAGGTTCTGCCAGAGCAGAGCAGGCTCTGAGCTGCTGTGGCCCAAGAGGGCTCACTTCGATTTGGAGTAATGGGCAGGCCCAGCGGCACTGTCAGTGCTCTAGGCTTTACTAGACTGAGGTTGCAGTACCAAATAGGGCAAACAAATTTCTGGCTGAGGCTGCTTACAGCCACAGAGAAGACTGAAGAGGTCCCAAGCTAGCCACACATGCCTGGCTTACCCTAAGGCTGTGTCATGTGCATAAAAGATTCAAAAGGGTTCTGCAGAAAGTAAAAGCTGGGACAGACCTGAAAAAGGTCTGATCATTCATTGGCTAACCATTAAGCTAAAAAAAACACAGGGATAATCCCTAAAAAGCCAGGCTAAAAAAAGTAAAACAAGAATATTAAAAAAGCAAAAACAAAAAACTGAGCAGAGACGTAGAGTTACCTTTCCCTTTTCCCCTTCTTTATGTCTGTTGTAGAGATCAGTTAACTCAGGCTCTGCTCTGCTTCTCTCTCAGGTTCCCATACCCACTAAGAGCTCCTCTCAAGGAGGCAGTTTATTTTCTTTAGAAAATTCTCTCGTATTAGCCTAGAATCACATGCACCTGATGTCTTTTGCTCACTCTAAGGGGGAGGCTACCCCTGCTATTTCAAACATAAAATTTTAATTAATTTACCCTTGAAAATGGCCCAGGACTCCCTCCCGAGTCTTGCATATATTCTCTCGTCGTTGTTAGGTGCCATTGAGTAGATTACAACTCATAACAAACCCATGTGACAGAGTAGAACTGCCCCATAGGGTTTTCTAGGCTGTAATTTTTCCAGGAGCAGATCACCAGGTCTTTCTCCAATGGGACCACTGGTGGGTTCAAACTATCAACCTTTCAGTTAGAAGCCGAGTGCTTAACTATTTGCTCCACAATGGCTCCTTATATATTCTCTTAGCTAGGCTTTTCTCTGGAACTACTCTTATTTTCCCAGGAGTTTTGTTTTGTACCTACGTTAGACTGTAGTTTCTTCTGCTCTGATCAATCTGATCTTATCTACTTTCTATCTTTCATAAATTCCTTACAATGGTCCATTTATGACATATTTTTGTTTCAAGTACTGTCCGGAATTTATTTTTTATTACTTCTTTTCTGAAATTAAGAAATCTGAAATAGCAAGAGAGATGGTCACATAAATTCAGTCCACTAACCTGATCCAATTTCCAGAGGAATCTTGCTGAGATGCCTAACGTTAGGCTGAAATGCACATACATTCTTAACTCCAGCACAAGATCCAACATCTTTGGTCTGATATGCTGGATCCTTAAAACTTGGCTTTTGTTTATCCTGTCCCTCAGGGAGGAAAGCAGTACCCTTTTCTGAGCCTGGTAGCATTATCCTGTGTTTACCAGACACTGTATTACAAAACTCTGTTTACGTGTCTGTTCCTTACTAAGCTGTGAGATCAAGAGCAAAGACCTTACCAGTCCTTGACTCCTGAAACTCAAAGAGCCTATCACATACTAGGTGTTCATTTTATAATGAGAATTCAGGCACAAAAATGCCATAGAATCTTAGAGCCAGATCTCAGATGAATTAGCCATAAACAACAGAATTTGCGAGCTGGAAGGATCCTTAAAGATCATGTTTGTTAAATGAACAAATTTTTAAGGTTTAGCAACTCTGTGCAAACTTCCCTGTACTACAAGACAGAAGAAGATCACTCCATCGAACATGGTCCATTGTTCATTATTCATACCTCTCACAGCCCTTATTACCCTAGTTTGTCATCAATTTTTTACTTAAGGGCTAATATACTACATACTCATTTTTGTGCCACTAACACCTCGGCACAAAGAGGGTGCTAAGTAAATATTTATGCTATGAATGTATGAATGAATGCTTAGAGAGAACTGAATTTTGTACTAGTTTCTACTACTGAATCACTCAAGTATGGAACAAGTCACTTAATCTCTCTGAGTCACAATTTCCTCATCTGTATTATGGGGATAACAATTCTGTCTAATGTATTTCACAAATCATGTGGAATGATCTGTGTGAAATCATTTTGGAAAACAATGGCATGCTACCACAATACAAACCATACCTCCCATGTAAAACTAGTACAGAAATATATAGCAATGAGCCACAGAGACAAATGTTCTAATTGTAGGGGAGAAATGGCCTTCACAGCTTGAGTGGTTTTAATTGTAGATACTAAATCTGTACAGGTTTTTACTAAGCAGGTGTTATCCTCTCTGCCATATGGACTGAGCCCCAGGGCTCCTCCTCCTCACTAACAAACAACATAGTGTGGCTTTACTGCAGTCTCCTTTATAAGACCTCTTTGACATCTTTCTCTGTTCCCTGCTACAATGAAAAGAACCCGGGACTGAGAATCAGAAGACCCCAGTTCTAATCCAGTTCCTCCATAATAGCTAGTTATGAGTCTTCGGGAAAGCCTGTTTTTCTGCCTGTGAAATGGGGATGATAATGCTTCCTCACAAGGTAATTTGTGAGGACTAATTACGCTAACATATGTAAAGTTCTTAGCACAGTGCCTGGCACATATTAGGTATTCAGTAAATGATAGCTGTCAAAAGCATATAGATATTTGAACCACAAAGCACAGCTCAGCTTTGTTCAGGCCACTTCTTCAACAATTTCTTACTGCTCAGTAATAGGGAAACCCCCAAAGATCTCATGTTTGCAAATTCTTCCAGGTCTCTTAATCACATCTCTGCCATTTGATGAAAGGTAGCATGATCAGAAGGAGCTCTGGTGGCACAGTGGTTAAGCACTTGGCTGTTAACCGAAAGGTCAGTGGTTTGAACCCACCAGCCGCTCCACGGGAGAAAGATGTGGCATAAAGATTACAGCCTTGGAAACCCTATAGGGCAGTTCTACTCTATCCTATAGGGTTACTGTGAGTCAGAATCGACTCGACGGCAACAGGTTTGGGTTTGTTTGGTTAGCATGAATTAGGGCAAAGCAGTGCAGACTGGGAATCAGGGGCCTGTTCTCATTAACCCTTCTCTATTTCAGTTTTATCATCTATAAAATAGGGATAATAACCCACCTAATTGAGCTCCTGTGAATATTATAGTGAATAAGAAAGGACTCAGCATGCTGCAAGGCACTAGACATGTGAACATTTTTTATAATCAATAGAAGTATTTAAAAAAAAGAGTATAAACAACTCAGAGTAAACCAGTCCCCAGCGCTAGAAACATGGCTCAAAGTATTTTGATGGTGACTCAGCATTGTTAGAATTTACTATTCCCCTGCTTAAAAGTCTTCAATAGCTTCCCGTTACCTTTAAGACAAAGTTAAAACTCCTACATGATCTGGCCTGCTTACCATTCCTCCTCATCCTCTACTCCCGTCACACTTCACATTCCAGTCGTATCAAACTACTTGCAGTTTCCTTCCAAGCATACCTTGCATACCTCTTTGCCTTTGCACATGCTCTTCTCTCTGTCTGGAATACTTTCCTCTTTCCTTAATTCTTATCCTAGATAACTAACTCATTCATCTCAGACTTTACCATCAGGAAGCCTTCTCTGGTACCCTCAACCTTTCATTCAGCAAATATCTACTGAACGCCAGATGCCAAGGATACAGCAATTAACAAGTCAAACATAGTCCCTGGCCTCAGGAAGTTTACCACGCTGCACTGTTAATGGTCTGTGCCTTCATATCCCCCACAAGACTGGGAAGTTCTCAGGAATTGGGACAATGTCTGAATCATCTCTTCATCACCACTACTTCATACAGGACCCGGTAGACAGCAGGGGCTTTGCAAACTTCTAGTAAAAAAATTTATATGGCATAAACCACCTTTATACAAGAGACATTAGATGAAAAGAATAGTGATATTCTCTTTTATGCATCACAGTTTACTATTTATAAGACCCTTTCAAACACACTAATATCTCATTTCATCCTTATATCTGTCCTGGAAAATAGGATTTGTAAGTTGAGAGAGCCAAAGGACCGCTGAAATCATCTAGTTTTACTTCCCAGACAATTCTTCTATGATCTCTATAACATTGCTTCAAATGATAGGACATGCACTACAGTTTCACAGGACAGAATGAATGATCTTAGATAAACAGAATCTGCTCCCTTCAACAATGAGTCCTAATCCTGGTTTTGTAGACCCTACTGACCAAAGAGGGCCCTGTTGGCGCAGTGGTTAAGAGCTCGGCTGCTAACGGAAAGGTTGGCAGTTCGAACCCACCAGCCGCTCCTTGGAAACCCTATGGGGCCGTTCTACTCTGTCCTATAGGGTCGCTATGAGTTGGAATTGACTCCATGGTAACAGGTTTGGTTTTTTTGGGTACTGACCAAAGAGAAGAAATTCTCTTCTAAATTCAGGTAAAGACACAGCCAGGTAAGGCAGAGTGTATCATCCTCATTTTATTGATGAGTAAACTAAAGCTCAGAAAAGCAAAATGACTTTCCCAAGTTCAAAGCTATAAATAAAAAAAAATTGAGCCCAGAAGCCCGGTCTTCTGGTTTCAAGGTTAAGATTTCTAGAACATTAAAGCTGGAAAGGCTCCCCACTATTTATTAAGTCCAATTCCTTTACTGTACAGATAGGAACTCTGAGGTCTACAGTGGGGGAGTGACCAAGATGAACACCTCCCAGCCTAGGCGCTGCCTCTACCACACTGTCTTGATCATTAACCACCATACCTGCCCATATCAGAACAGAGGGAATAAAGACTTACCAAAGTATTAGAAGAATTATAATCCTCGGCTAATTTATCTGCAAAGGAAGACAGATAAGAGACACAGTCAGTAAACAACGACAGTTAATCTCTTCTTGAGAGCTATTCAGTCAAGCATTTGCCAGGCTCAGAGAATAATAATTTTAGTGCTACTATGGGCCAGACACTGTGTTAAGCACACTATACACATTAATTCATTTAATCCTCATTGTGGCTCTGAGTACTATTATTATATCCTTTTTTACTGATTTGGAAACTGAGGTTCAGAGAAGTTAAGTGATTTGCCAAGGGTACACACCGGTTAAAATAGTGGAGTTAAGATTTGAATCCTGGTCTGACTCAAAATACGATGTTACAACTATGTCCACATCATTAGCTATATCATCATCAGGCCTCAGTGGTCAAGGAAATTTCCTGCATTCTAAGAGAAAGAAAAGAATTCACGGCTGGCACCCTCCAGAGCTACCCTTGCCAAATCATGACCAGCCTGCAGCTGCAGTTTTCAGAAATGAATCTTCTAGATTCATGCCTATTCCCTGCAGGGAGAGAAGGACCAAGACTTAGAAAAATAGAGGCATTAATCATGTCAAGTCTAATTAAAGGTAGGGTCTTGTTTTCTTAGATTCAGGCTCCCTCAATGAGGCAATTACCATATTTCGTTGATTCTAAGATGTATATTTTTTCACATTAACATCTCTGAAATAGAGATGTGTTCATAGTCAAAGGCATTTCACAATTTAATAAGCAGGATTTTTCCTCTTAGTGGTACATAAAATAATGGTGCATCTTACAATCAATATCTTAGACTTGATGAAATATGAAACATAGACCCAATGGAGAACTTAGCAAGAAGTTTAAAGACCAGGTTATCGTGTTTGGCTTTGTTCCCCAAGAAGAAAACTGGCTTCCCCAGTTCACCACCAATAGAATTAAGGAAGAGAAATATTCTACCAATTAAGGAGAAGTAATATCCAACATATTTCTCACCAAGAGTCAAACCCAGAAAATGTCCAAGATCCCAATTCTATCATATAAGCAAGGACCAGGTACAGCTTCTTCGTTCAAAGGCAAGTCATGAACCCACAGACCAAAAATAAGGCAGTCTGTAACATTATGTTCTTAAAACAAATCCTGAATTGCCAGCTGTACACTGCAGAAACCAATTTAGGATATACTTTAAACATAATTCATTTGTTTTGCTTTCATAATAGCACATCGGCTTAGGCAGAGCAAAGTACAACACTGTGCCTTCACTGTACAACTGCCTAACCCTATCCACTGCTAGTATTGTTAAAGACTAGGTATTCTAGTAATAAACGTACCTAGCTCTTATGTCATATAAAAAACAAGTAAACATTGCACCTTTTAAAGGTGATATACAACTTTTATGTATCAAATTCTAAAGCACAGAATGACAGATCAGAAAGTACTTATACAATTATAAATTCTTCAGTTACACAAATGAGGAAACTGAGGTTCAGTGAGGGAAAGAGACTTGTTCAAAATCACATAAATCAGTGGCAAAGTAGGGCTAAAGCCCAGAACTTTGAGTTGTCAATCTAGTTTTTTTCCTATCATGTTAGCTACTAGTGGGTACAGAAAAAAAAAGTGCTAAAAAAATAGGACACTTGACAAAAAATTGGCATGGAGGGTCACACTTGGGTTATAAGCAAAGGGTTTAAAGATCTGGGTTTAAAACACATTTCTATCACATATTAGCCAAGTCACTTTGGGTAAGTCAGTTAATTTCTCTGAGCCTAGTTAATTTCTCTGGGTCTATAAAATGGGGATAATATCCTTGCCTTGCCAATTTCCTAAGGCCTTCATGAGAATCAAATGAGATAATTTATGTCCAAGACTATACAAATTGAGGTAGTGTTATCATAATTAATAGTATGAAAGGAGGAAAACAGAGAAAAGAGAGATGTGACATTAAAAATAAACTGTCAAATATACAATTTTGCCAAGAGTTGGCCCTGGTTTCAAGTTCTAGGAAATTTTAACGCTTGCACATACATACATTACCCATGTGCAAAAATTTTTAGACACAAAAGTAGACGTATGCACATGCATCTATACGTATAAACTCAATACTATACACATATGCATGCACAGATGAATATATACACAATTACCTATGTATATTACACACATACTCTTTCATAAATACTTAAGTGGACTTAAATTCCAAACATATGCAAACCCATAAGCTATGGCCCTTGCACATATCTACACACATGCAAATATATAAAAAGAGACTCTTACAAAGACTTTGCTGCTGAAGCTTTCAAAGCCAGCTTCTAATCTGACGTCTCCATGACAAACTCCTTAAAACACAAACTCTAATTTCCTGATTGGAAAACTTTCCCACCTAGCACCCTCCACTCGAGTTCCTCCTTGGGAACGACCAAGTCCCTCAATGGGAGAAGTGAGACAGACCCAGCGGGGCCAGACGTGAGGAAGGAAATACTGCTGGGAACATGCGTGGCCCTCTCCTGGGCACTGCCATGGCAGCATGAGCGAAGCTGCAGCCTGCCATCACCACCATCTGTGCCCTTTGATACATGCCAGGTACTGGCTGGGGAAAGTATCCCTCTAAATTAGCTAGTTCATCCTGGTTCTCACCTTCCCCAGCAGTGCTGTCCTTTGAAGAAAACAGTGTGAGAACTGGAAAAAACACCAGACTGGGAGTTAAGAGACCAGCCCTACCACTAATTTAGCCACATTAGAAAGGTTTTTCCTGGCTTTAAATGTCTGTAAATCAAGGGGGAGCTGGAAGTGCTATATGCTAAGGACATTTCTTGCTCTAACATTCTCAGATGCTATATTTAAGGCAAGTTTCCAGAAATGTAGGCCTTCTCATAAATTATCGCAGGAAAAGAAAAATCTTTCCGTTAAGTAACGAGGTGCTCCAAATAGAGTTACTACAAGCAAGTAATAAATTCAAAAGGTGCTAAGAATTAGAAGACCTGGATTATAATCCTAATTCTGCTCTTAAAAATAATCTGAAAAACACAGTCCCTTATATACAGAATACATCCAAAGAACATTTATTATTCCTGGCCTGTTTTTCATTTTCACAAAAATTAGTCCCCTGAGGAAGAAATTTGGCTTGCTTACTTCAAAGATACACAGTGATGTTATTAAATGACTAATGATATTAACAATAATGATAGCCTACATTTCTATGGTGCTGTTTTATAACCTATAAAGAACTGTCACATCAATCAGCTCATTTATTCCTTAACATAACCTCTTGAGATAAGAATTATGATTCCCATTTTGCAGCTCAAAGAAATGAAGCTACTGTTACAAACTAGTGAATGTCAGAACCTAGATCTTCTAACACAAAGCCTGAATTCTTTATATAAAATACCATACTATTTTTAAAATCATGTATAGCTTCAGAATAAAGATTCAAGTTTGATGCAAAAACCCATTGTCTTGGCTCTCAAATTTCAAATTTCTATTTTAGTGAAAGTTTCACCTCCACTCCTTCCAATAATTTCTTCTCTCATCCCAGGCCAATAGGCATGTTGAGTTTTTCCACCCAGATCTAAAACCTTCCTTTCCCTAGACAGTCCGGGACACAATCTCCATACCTGTAAAGCTCATGTACTTCTGGCTATTGGAAGTCTTCTTTGAGTTGTAAAATTCCAACACATCTAGAACAGCCTGTGGGTTTTTCTTCTGCTCCGACTTAGTGATATTTGATGTCTGAAGCAAGCGGGCCCACTGCTCTGGCATCCCCTATAAGAGAGACATGCAAGGCTGTCAAGAAGGACAGGCACAGGAGAGACTGAAGAAAAATCAGAGCTAACTTTGATACCTGCTAGCAGCTAAAGATGGGTTTATTAGTCACTCCATTCTCTCTATGCCCTCAGAGCTTTACACAGCCTCTTTTATAATACTTACCACATCGTATTAGTCATTTCTTGAGATATTTGCTCCCTCATCAGGCTATAACTCCTTTAGAGCTTTGTTTCTGTATCATCAGTGCCCAGCACAAACCCTGCTAACTTGGGGCCCCTTAACAGGTATATTTAAGGAATGGAGATTCATTCAATGGTTACTCTGGGTACAATTTTGTTGATGAAGAAAGGGTCCCTCTCACAAATGTAAGTAGCTAGTAATGAAGACCTCAGGCACAGAGACATTAGGAAAACTAAAAAAGATTGAATCTAACAGTGCATAACCAAAATGCTAAAAGACTAAAGGCCTTTCTGTGACTCAGGACTCACCGTGAACTCCCCTGTGACAGCATCAAAACCAACGTGAATTGTGTGCTCAAAATCTGAAGGAAGAGAAATCTCTGGCCGTTCCTTCTCCTTCTTTTTATTTGCTGCAAGAGAAACAGGGGAAAGGAAATTTTTTAAAAAGGAATGCTACTTAAATGTTTAAACTTATTCTAGCTCTTTATGAGCTGTGGGCTCCCTTAGAGGGCAAGAACTGCCTACTTCACATATATATTTACAGAGTCCAACACTGGACCTGGATTGGAGTAGATGTTCAATGCTGTCTTAGTTATCTAGTGCTGCTTTAACAGAAATATCACAAGTGGACACCTTTAACAAAGAGAAGTTTATTTCCTCACAGTAAAGTAGGCTAAAAGTCCAAATTCAGGGCATCAGCTCCAGGGGAAGCCTTTCTCTCTCAGTTGGCCTTCTCATCAATGTTCCCCCAGACTAGGAACTTCTCTGTGCAGGAACCTTGGGTCCAAAGGACGCACTCTGCTCCTGGCACTGCTTTCTTGGTGGGTATGAGGTCCCCCTGTCTCTCTGCTCACTTCTCTCTTTTATATCTAGAGAGATGCCTCAAGATACAATCCAATCTTGTAGCCTGAGCCCTGCCTTACTAACACAACTGCTGCCCATCTGCCCTCATTAACATCACAGAGGCAGGATTTACAACACATAGGAAAATCACACAATACCGGGAATCATGGCCCAGCCAAGTCGATACACACATTTTTCGGGGAACATAATTCAATCCATGACAAATGCATATTTAAAGATTTAATTTTTTGTTGAACTAAAGTAAGGGAAGAACAGAAAGAACATATCATCAGAGTTAATAATCCTGGTTCTACCACTAATCAGCCCTTTAGTCACTTCCTTTTTCTGAACCCTGGTTTCCCCATCTCTAAAAAGAGAAGGCTAGAGTAGATGGTCTCTAAAGACCCTTCCAGCCCTGGCATCCTATCGTCTACGAGCTTCTGTAAACTGCATCACATCCACTGGTTCTTGATCACAGATGGCTCTAAGGTTCTCTAAATTATAAAATTTTAGATTTGGAAGTTGCTTTAATAATATAAATCACAAATAGTTATCAGGTGCTTACCATGTACCACGTACCTGGTTCATGTAATTTACCTGGATTGATTCACTTAAAGCTCACAGTAACCGTATCAGTGAGATACTATCATTCTTATTTTGAAGATGAAGAAACCGAAGCACAGATTTTAAGTTACTTGCACAAGATCATATGGCTAGTAAGTGGCAGGATCCAAATCTAAATCCAGGGAGTCTAGCCCAGAGTCTGAGCTCTTAACCACTATGCTATGCTGCCTCCCTAGGCTAGGACCTTAAAGAAGCATAAAGTCTGAATACTTGAGACATCCCTCTCCCATTAAGGGTCTTGCTTAAGGTTCTTCTGACCTGACAGAAAAAGGTGCCATATTCCAACCACAAGGAGTTTCAGGATCTTGGCATTAGCTAGACCTCGGGTAAAACCATAAGCAGCATCCACAGATGCAATCTAGCTGAAACAGGCTTAAATACCTTCCAAGGCTCAGCCACAGAATCTTTCTTTCTAGACGGGGACCTGCAGAGCCAAGATTTTAAACTTCTCCTACAAAAATACTTCCCATTCTCCCAGCCGGGGTTCCTCCTCCTTCAGGGGCTCCTCCTCCTTCAGTGTCCTAGAGAGGAAGTAGAGCAGAGGGGCATCTGGTCCAAACTCACAAGAAGCTCCCTCCATATCACCAGGGGGAACTAGGTTCAGAAACTAATTGCAAAAGCTACCACTTATTGAGCTCTTACCATGTGCCAGGCATGTGCTAAGAATTTTGTATGCATCAAATACTCTTGCAATTCTACAAAACAGTTATTAATATCCCTATTTTACAGATAAGAAAACTTAACTGCAGTGATACCTGTAAGAGCCGGAACTCAATAGGACTACCTTGTTTTTCCAGGTCTCGTAAGTTTTTCTTCCATCTTTGACAGGGTGCAGTCTTACCACTTTTCTATCGCTGGTTTCGATGGAAAATATTTTGAGTTTTCCTTCTCTGACAGGTTTCCATCTTACACAGGCTCCAGCTTTCACAGGTTTTACTGTGCTTTCTTTTAACAACTTGCTCGACCATTCCTGAGTTCTAGTGATAAGTTTGCCCATAAGTATTAGGCTTTAGTCATGTAGGAAAACTAGAGATACTGGCCCTGTGAGGCAAGATCAGAAAGATCCTCCTCTTCAATGCAAGACAGCAAGGAAAGCCCAGGAGCCCTGAGTCTCTGGTCTTCCCTACTACCAATCCCTCAAGGAACCCACCAGAATTTTCTCCTTGTAGGAAATGTTATTCTCCTCACTGCCATAGTCAAGGCACAAAATTCTGTGGCTCTAAGACCAGCTAGCAGTTTCCTTCCTAGAGATGTCTAGGATCATATACTAGCAAGGTCCAGGGTCAAAGACTAGAAGATCAGAATTCACCTGTAAAAGAAATTCACTGGGCAGTGTCTGAGAACTTGGCTGGGGTCAGATAAGGGCTGAATGCCAGGCTTGCCTGATCTATCCTCGGAGATCAGATTAAGAGTATAGGCAGAAGCCCATGGGCTAAAATAAGGTCCCAAAATCTAGAGTTAATGCCCCAATGACCAGGAAGAACTGGACTGCATTTATCCCATTTGTCCTATAAGGTGACTGCCTTTCCAGGTTGACATGTCTGACCCTCAATACCAGACTAAATATTCCTACAGGGCAGAGTGTCAGTACCTACAACACTTCATAATAGATTTACACTTCATAATAATTACAATAATCATTTTCATTTGTGTCATGTGCTGGTGTTTACAAAACTATTTCATATAAATTAATTCATTAGAGTCTAATAAGAACTGTGTGACAAGCAGGGCAGTGATTATGGTGCCAATTTGACAGAAGAGGAAAATGAGGTTCCAAGAAGTTAAGTGGCCTGTCCAAGGTCACAGAGCAAGTTAGAAGTAGAACTGAGGTCTTCAGACTCCCAGCCCAAGGCCTTTCTATTCCAACACTCTCCCTCTTATGGAATGCTGCTGCTCATGATTATCTCTCCTGTCGTTCCCAATGTACTCCAGTCTCCAAGTTCTTAATGATTTTATCTTCTATACATTGCTAAAATTTATCCACACTTCTCCATCTCAACTGCCACCATCCTATTTCAGGCATTGTCATCTGCCACCTGAGTTATAACCATAACCTCTCATCTACATTCTGGACCCTTCAATACACATAGCAGGCAGGGTGAGCTATAGCCTTATTATTCAAAGCAACACCAGCATCACTTGGGAGACTGCTGGAAATGCAGAAAACTTAGGACCCAACTCTGAGAATCAATATCTAAATTTTAATAAGATCCCAGGTGATTCACATGTATATAAAAGTTTGAGAAGCTCTGCTCTACAGACTTGTTCCCCCTTTACACCTCCCACTACTTATGTTTCATACACTCTACACCAGCTACACTGAACCAGTTATGGTTCCCCAAACATATTGAGCTCTTTCACACCTCTTCACATTTTCTCAAGCTACACCCTTTGCCTACAATATCCTGTCTTTCCTTTACCTTCCTTTCCTCCCTCACCACATCCCTCTCAGCTTAAAGGTCCTCTCTTCTATGAAGTCCTCTCTGATTTCCAGGTTGGGCAGTTTACCCTTTCTTCTGTTCCCACAGCACCAATACAGTAATTGCCTATTTTAAGTGTTTAGCTTCCCTAACATACTGAGTTCCAAGTACAGGGGCCATGTCCAATTCATCACTGATCCCCAAGGACAATTATATGCCTAGCACAGTATAGGTGCTCAGACAGTGAGTAAACAAATGAACAAATGACCAGACATGGACTTCAACCAGGCAAGGAGTTTAAGGAATCAGACCAAGACATGCAAACTCTCTCCAGGGCAGGAAAAAATGTTTCATTTCACCAGCTCTAGCCTGACTTTCACAATCCTTGTTACCCAGCCCTGGAGTCCAGGCCAGTTTTGCCTGCCTCACTGTGTTATTACACAGTCTAGGATCTCTGCTTTCCCATCTGAACAAAGGAGAGGATGGACTAAATGATCTTAAGGACCCACCTTGTTTCTATATTCTGTGAATTTATGAAACCAGGAAAATGAGCACTCTCAAAGTTCTGTAGCTTTATTTCTTCCTGAGATGGCATCCTACAGTTCTTTAATACCTCAATAGTTACTTCATATACATTATCTCATGTAATCACCACAATCCTGAGAGGCAAGTTTTACTTTGTAGGTTAGGAAACTGAGGCACAGGCTTGTCTACAGTCAGAAAGGAATTCAAATCCCCAAAAAGTATGGCTTCAAAGCCAAGGCTGTTCACACTGTACCACTCTACATTCCCTAGAGAGTTTCCAGTTGACTCAAGAAAAATTTTGGCATAATGAGAAGAAACAGCATTAAATGAGAACTTACCATGTATAAGGAACCATGGCATACATTATTTTCCTTCATTCTCAAAATGCCATGATATTACTGAAATTTTACAGATGAGGAAATGGAAAAATAGTTAAATAACTTGCCCAAGCTCACAGCTAATGAGAAACAAGATTTGAACCCAGGTCTGACTCCAAAGCTTCTTTCCTCAGTACCTTAATGAGAACAATTTGCCTACATGCCAATGGCTAAAATTAAAGCTATTTATGCATTTGGCAACTTCCCTTCCAGGAGCAGCTGCTTTGAGGCAGAAGGACTAAGGGTATACCAGGGCCCAGGTCAAGCAGCCATTTATGACACAAGTCCATCTGTCTTGCTCACAGCTACAATGTATGGGACATGTTGCAGGGCTTTGGGACTGCTTCCTGTTCCTAAATTCTCTCTGATCTAGTCACTTAAAAGATTGTAGGGAAGAACAATTATATTTTTATATGTTTTAGTATACTTGCATATATGTTATAACCAGTTGCCGTTGAGGTGATTCTAACTCATGGCAACCCGATGTCTATCAGAATAGTACTGTGTGCTCAGTAGGGTTTTCTTTTCTTTTTCTTTTTTAGTATTTTATTACGTTTTTGGAGAAGCTTTACACAGCACAAATTGTTCAGTGACACTGGTTACATTCTTTACAGTACGTGA